AATACCTGTAAAATTGCAATGTTTACGTTTATTAATTAATTTTTAAATTTTTTTTATAAACTAGTCTTTATCTTTTCATGCCGATTCGCACAATTAAGTTTCGTCGAAATTCATTCAGTGTTTTGATAGATTAATCTTTCGGATCAAAAAGAGGACTAATTTCATTCGCCGTTAATTTAACTCCGCTTTCAATAGCCCAAACTATACGGCGTCAAATGGCAAGATGAACAATGATTAATTGAAATGTGGGAGGAAGCGGTGGTGATCTATTTCAAGAAACTATTCCGACATTCACCTGGACGAATTGACGAAAAGCATGAGTAACATCATCCATTGTTTTAGGTTTCCCAGACGGAGATTCGAACTGAACACCTCAAGTATAGAAACCAGAATGGCTATTGCCCCAGTGAAACTGTACTCTGTCTAACGGGTAAACAGATTTCAGGCGCGATACATTTGCCGTGCATGTATTTCGTCTATTTCAAATATGAAATTTAAATTCAGGCTTTTTATTTGAATAAATATAATTTTAAATTAATGTATTTTCCTTGATCTACGAACCTGTAGCCATACAATGAAAGATATGAGGAAGAACATCTCCTTTTAAGTCCGATATAAAATTCAGTTTTTCAAATCTATGTGGGTTCCAGGCAAGCAAAGTGTGGTCTCTTGAATTATTTATACTTGCAGCGGTGGTAACCGATAGAGCACGTGACATAAGTAAGAACATTTATTCAGCCCAGCGTCACTTGAGAAGAGGCTGTAAACGTGGGTAAGCTGTGAGTTTTATCTCCAAACGTTCGCTTAAAGTAACGGGATAACAGAATTCTAGTAAAACCGCCAGAAGGATGTGATGAATCTTTATGTGTGAAGTGTATGCAATTTGTGGGGCGTGTGTTCGATCCTTGCTATATTCTACACAAAGTAATTCAGTACGTGACTGGCGTATTTCTCTGTTTAATTACCAGTGGTTACGTTTCACGTACTAAAAAAATCCCTGGCTTGAGTCCGCAAGCGAAATATACTGACCGAAGTCTAGTGGTCAGAGTTCCTGGTTACATATCTAGAGGTCACGGGTTTGATTCCCACCGCTACCAGATTCTATGAGAAGTAGTGGGTCTGGAACGGGGTCCACTCAGCCTCGTGAGGATAACTGAGGAGCTATTTCAAGGAAATAGCGGCTCCGGGTTAGCAAACCGAAATTAACAGCCGTGGGGATTCGTTGTGCTGACCACATGACCCCTTCTATCCACTAAAGTTCGCGCTAACTTCGCCGACAAGCGGCGGTCGTTCGGTCGGTCGCTTCACATATTCATAATCAAATTATTATTACTGCTTATGGCGGGGTGAGACCTAGTCCACTTAGCACGCAGGCTACTAGTGGGACTTCAGTTAGGACATATCTTGTCCTGACCGGCGTTCGAATCCAGTAATCCCCCGAATACGTGTCAAGAATATTACTGGTAGTCCGAACAGCTAAGAAAACATATCTCGGACAGCGTGTTTTTTTTTTTCGTTTTTTATCTAATAAAAGTAAATTGTCTCTGTACTTAACTAATTATGCATCCCGAAATACATGTGGACGTATATGTCCACGTATTCTTTGCCTTAGTACTAGACGGACTTGAGTGATTAGCTTTAGCCTCAGTGAAGGAGCCCTTGGAACCCATTGCAGTGGAGTCTGGGTGGGTTCCAGAGCCTGTCTAGATGCTGCAGAGAAGGGAGAAAGCTTTTGCCATTGCTGGGAATCGAACAACGGTTCCCCAGCCGTCCAGCCCGCGTATATTAAGAGCCAGGATAGTGCAGTCAGTATAGCGACTGGCTACGGGCTGGACGACCAAGGGGTCCAAGTTCGAGTCTCTGTGGGGGAAGAATTTTCTCCTCTCCACGTCGCCCAGACCGGCTCTGGGCCCACCCAGCCTTCTTTCCAGTGGGTACCGGGGACCCTTTCCCCAGGTGTAAAGCGGCAAGGGCGTAAAACTGACCACTCAGCTCCAGCTAGTGACGAGGTAAAGAAAATGTGGATCTATACATCCACTCCCCCATACGCCTTCATTGCGTGGTGCTTAATTAGCTTAGCGCAGGGACAACTTTATCTCTTTATTTTTAAAATATTTTACAAATGCGCGAAATTAAAAAGAATCCATCTTTGATATTCTGGGAATTATTATCAATTCAATGTTAGTGTCCGGCTTCAAACCCATCCCTTCTCCCGGGAGGGGGGGGCGCCCCAGACTCTGGGCACCGTGGGTTGGTGGAAGATCACATTCACCCCCTTCCATCGCTCTACAAACGGACTGATCAAGATAACCCCCCACGCAGTGCCTACATAAAGCTGCATGGATCTGCCAATTTGAGTATATCACATCTGAATGACAGTTTGTTGGTTCATGAATACGGCCAGAACCAAAATCATCACTTGAAGGAGGATATTCACCTAAATTATGTCTTACAACTCAGTTCCAATCTCACACGAACGCCCCAACTAACTATGAATCCTTGACAAGCTTCCAGATGCACACCTACTCAAAAACTTCCTAACAATTTATGAAACCCAAAACTTCATAACTGCCTTTACATGAGCCAATCATTGGTCCCTATCCTGAGCCAGAATGCACTCCATGTAACCCCTCCTATTTCTCCAAGATCCATTTTAATATTGTGGCATGTAGACGCGTTGCTAGGCAACGACCGCAATAGAAGCAACTACAAAAAAAGGTTACTAAGTAACAGCTCTGCAAACAATCTTCTATCCAGGGAAAAAATTGGACACAACAGTATGAAAAGCTGCGTTTACTACGTGGTCCATGTCCCTTACTATTTCCATCCAAACCATTTCCAACTGATTATATAAGATGAAGCCAGACACAGAAAATATAAGAGGTTTAAACTTGGCGGTGGTCAAGCTTACTACCGTTCAAATGACTAAGTTTTCGTTGTAGCATAAGATATGTAAGTTAGGCATGATCTAAGCGGCCTCCGTAGTCTAGAGGTAACGTTCCCACCTCATGACTCGTAGTACGCGGGTTCAAATACCCGGCGGAGGTCGTCGAATTTTTAAGGGCGGAAAAATTCAGGGAACAAGTCCTACGGGAGGTACTTTAAGCAGTGGGTCCCGTGTCGTAGCTTTACGGCACGTAAAAGAACCTCGTATCTCCAAAGGAGGTCACTGAGCAAAATTGCGGACGTTTCCCGCCCAACAGCAGTCTCTAATACCTCCGGTAGATGGGGGAAGCATTATAGATACTTCTCAGCCAGTAGAGCCGGTCTCGCTGGCTGGGTGGGACTGATGGTAAGCACCAATACCGGTTGGATATAGAGACTGGTAGAAATCATAGAGGGAAGCACAATGGACCACTACAGGTCTAAGTGCATGGGGAAACCCACCCGCTCTAATAACTAACTAACTAACTAGGCATGATCTGTTCTGTAAAACCTGCACTGACGGAGGACATGTGTGTAGTGCAAAATGAAAAACTTTCAATAACATATTACATGTGCGAAATATACACCAGATGAAAGGCTAAGCGTATTCATAAGAGACAACCCCATGGTCTCGTCAGAGAGGATGTTACATAAGGACTATTACCGCAAGAGTTCAGTCGGGGAGAAAAAAATCTCTGGTCGTAGGCCTCAAGGGGCCTGACGCCAAGACGAACTGATTGGCGGTAAACCGTCATTTGTAAAGTAACTCTGACTCTGACTCTGACAACTGATTATTAATCAGTTCTCCTATATGCCATGTAGCTAGAAAGATACTGAAATCGTCGTAAAATGGCACAACATAAAATCCTGACATTCATCTTAATTATATCTAAGAACTTATGTTCAACCTCACAGAAAACCAATGTTTTCTCTTATAAAGGAAAATCGGTTAACATTAAATAATTACTGTTTATTCTGAGAATCATGCAAGATGTATTGTCTTGTATACTAGTATACATCTTATTACTACAGTTCACAAACCGCTGTGACACACTGTGTCTTCTGATCATCTTCGACTGCCGTTACCCTTTACAGACCAACTCTCGACTAACTGCTCACTTGGAACTCCGGAACTCGACTGACAATTCTCAACTAAACTCTTCTTTATAACCACTTTACACAGACCGAATTTAAATACCCCTATTATTGTGTGTTTATCGATCTGTTGCTTAGAAACGGAATCTTGTACTGTTGCGTGCTCGCTTATCTTCGCGGGAACCTGTTTACCGAGCCGTTGTCTAGCAATAAAATATTCCGGTTTTCAAGCGCCATGTCATAGTATAAATTTACTTTGTAAGCAAGGTACAGAAGTTCTGAATGTTAAATCATGTGGCACATGCAGTTTTCAAGGGCAAGAGGACTGTCAAGTAACAAATGAATGTCGAAAATCTGTGACAGTTACGAAAAGAAGCCATATTTTTTATAAGTTTATGAGAATTCTCGACTGCTTTTATATTTCACTTTTGTGAGCTATAGATAATAAAATCTTCTGTGAAGGCTGACATAAACCAGAAAATTGTTCTTTTATGTTGTCATTACGCGCGTTTATTACGTGGCAGTAACATCATACACATCCTTGAAGCTAAGCCACATGATTTTTTTCTAACTTCATGACGAAAAAAATTAGTAGCTAGAGAGAAGTAACGGTTCTTACTTGTATTCTTGAGGTGCTGGGTTCGAATTTCGGTCGAAACATTGACTATCCTTACTAAGGACACTCATGATACAACGGCTGTTGTATTGCTGCTTATTTCGCGATCGTTGCCCAGCAACAGATCTACGTGCAACACTACATCAAAGTTATTCTCATTTGCCCTTCATGCATACAGCTTCTATAACATGTATCTGTGAAAAATGACGTCACAGCTAAATAATTTTTGTATCTGGTATAGGGTAAAAACTGTATATAGTCTTAGTGTAGGTTCCAATGTGTCTTGTTTCTGGCAAACTGTAATTTGTGTACAGCTGAAACCAATCAATAACTGACAAGATCAGAAGACATTCATCTTACTCACATGGTGCGGAGGTGTTTCATGTCCTTGAACGCTCCTGGCTCAATGCACTGTAAAAATTTTACGTTCATCAGGGTCCTGTAACGGAAAGACATAACTAGAAGGATGTCGGAAAAGTGTCATTTACGAGTACATCAAAGTCATGTTATGGGATAAAATGATGACCATCAAGCGAAACCTGAAATCCTGCGGTCAGCGTACAAAATTTTTCCTTACAACAATTAAAAAAAAGAATAAAGTAAAGTTCTTTCTATATTTAACTAATTAAGCACTACGTCATAAAGATGTATGGAGGAGTGGATGCATAGAGCCACATTTTCTTGACCTCGGCACTAGTTGGAGGTGAGTGGTCAGCTTCACGCACCGGTAGCTTTACCCCCGGGGAAAGTACCCCCCTCACCCATTGGATAGGAGGCTCGGTGGGCCCCAGAGCCGGTCTGGACGACATGGATAAGAGGAAATTCTTGACCCTACCGGGACTCGAACTCCGACTTCTCTTGTCGTCCAACCCGTAGCCAGTCGCTATACCGGCTTCAAGGATAGCATAAAATAATTAAATATTTATTTTCTAGTTTAAAAAATAACGTTTAAAGTACCATTCCATTATTTTTACCAAAGAAGTGAGGAAAACCACGAAACAAAATCTCAGTCCGGATACCCGGTAACCCAGCACCGAGATTCGAACCAATACATCCGCTCCCCCATACGTCTTCATGGCGTAGTGCTTAACTAGTTAAGCACAGGAACAACTTTGCTTCTTTACGGTGCTTTTAGATAAAACAGTACGATGGATAATTTCCAGAAACAATGAATAGTATATGGTAGGTTACCGTCGAACAGGCGCTACTTACTGGGGCTTGAATTACCTTAGAATGCAGAAGGATGTCAGTAAGCTTAGACGTTCACACACACACAAGTAAAAGCATAGTTAGTGAGGAATAATTAGACACACACAATACCTCCTTCGGGCTAACAGAGGCAAAACGCTGAGCTTTCATCGTTCAATTAGAACTTCCTCAGTGACAATTTACAAATTGTAATTAGATGTTTCACGGAGCCATGTATCCATATTGGATGTGGTAAGCGTTAATTGTGCTCCCACCTATACAAATTGCAGTACAAGTGAAAACATACTGTGTTTCATACTAATATTTGCGTGCTTCGTTGAATGTACGTAATACAATTTATATTTCCTCTGACTCGCTTCATCAAACAACCTTCTCTGACATGTGCAAGGACTTAACATCTGCGTTCATGCATTCTATAACCCACAAACCACGTGGTAAAGCTCCATTTTTGTATCTGGGAGATGCAGGCTTCGAATCTCAGACAAGACAACAGCTACCCTGGTTTCTTCTCTTGGTTCAATCAGAACTTCGAAGCAAATGACGTGGTAGTACTGTAGTGTGTAAGCTGTTGCTATGCAACGATTGCGAGATGGGCGGATATACCAGGGCCGTTTCTGGGTGACGGCTCGGAAAAAATTTCCCCGCAACAACCTGACAGCAACAGAGGAATGTTGTTTTCTACGTAGTCCGTGCCGATATATAAGCAAGGGACAAAGTCAGTTCTGTACGTGAGTCTGTAAAGAGAGGACTTTAGCACGGAGGCAGAGGAATAGCCACTGTTGGAGCCTTTTGCCAGGAAACATCTAGTAGCAGACTGAGAACACTAGAATTCTGTGCTCTAGTGAACTATAAAGTGTGGGATTAGTGATAGTGTTACGGTTATATGTAGTTAGGACTTGTGAGTGGTCAGTAAATCTATTCACTAATATAAACCCTGTCTATATTCACACTGCACTATGCGTCAGTAAATTAAATTCGGTCACAACCACTTCCTTTCTCGTCGTTTTTTAATTCATTATTAACGACTTTGAAATTATTCGACGTCATAGCTCTACAGGCTTAGTCACAAACAGCGTCGTCAGGTAGACTAAAAATAAACAAATAAATAGATAGCTACAATAAAGTAATGATGTTGGTGCTTGAGATAATGGCAGAGCAACGTGACGACAGAGCTGGTTGCAGACAATGTTAGTTCTGCCGCTATACAGATATGAAAATTATAGTCTCTCTGTCATCAGCTGTCGTTATTTTTATGATAATTGCTTATTTAGAACAGATTTTTGAAATCTATAATTTGTAACTTTTCAGTAATGGCTATCATAACTAGATTGTCAGTACCAGGAATGATTGATAACTCCGTGGTTTTTAGTCCTCAAGCGAGCTATACCGATCGAGCGATCGCCGCTTGTCGGCGAGGTTAGTGCCAACTTTAGCGGATAGATTGTGTCACGTGGTCAGCGCAACGATCACCACGGCCATTAATTCCGGTTTTCTAGACTGAAGCTGCTACTTTTCCATTCAAGTAGCTCCTCGATTTTCCTCAAGAGGCTGAGGGGACCCCGTTCCAGACCCACTACTTCTCAGAAAAACTGGTAGCGCCGGGAATCGAACCCGGGACCTCTGGATCTGTAGCCTGGAACTCTGACTCTTGCTTTATTTAGCGACGCATTCTCAACTGATTAAAGCATTGAAAGAAAAGATGAATCTGTACGATGAAGTGGAGGGGACGTGTAAGGAGATGGTCATGGCCCACCGCGAGATATTATCCCTGAATTTACTTGGAAGGTCAGGAACTGCTAACGAACTGACTCCGTGAAGCTGAGTCATTCGGGGGAAACGGCCAGTAGCTCAGTTACTGAAGACTTCCTAATATTTTGTGCAATCCAAAGGTTCATCACCGTGTTCACAAGAGCCTTTCACTGGTCTCTATGCTGAGCCAGAGCAATTCAGCCAATATTACCTCATTCTGTCTTTTTAAGAGCCATTATAATATTCAGAGATATTGGGTTTTCGGACTTTATATATTGTCCTGGTTTTAAGATAACTAAGAAGGGACCCAACAGAATAGGTGTTTTCCCTCACCCGAGGACGGAAACAGATCCAGTTTCCGAAACGTCGTGTTTTTCTTAGTTACCTTAAAACCAGAATGATGGATAAAGTCCGAAACCCCAATATCTCTGTGTGTTATGCATCATCTTCAGAATCCTATAGTAACTACATTATAATATTATCATTGAAATTAGGTCTAGGTCTTCCTGATGGTCTATTTCCTTCTTGCTTTACCAACCAAAATCCTATATGCATTCCTCTTCTCCTCATGTATGCTACGGGCCCTGTCCATCCTATAATCCTTGACTTGATCATTTTAATTACAGGAATTGCCATAACAATAAAATAGAGTGAGAACAGCTGTGTTTGGACCTAGATTTGAAGCCTGTACCTCTCGAATCCGAGGGAGGAATGAGAATCACTCAATCATGGCATACTCTGTTGACCCATTTCTGAGGCAGATAAAGTGAATGACATAAAGTGTACTTACACGTCCTGGAGAAATGCGCGATACGGCTGAAGAGATGTTGCCTTCAACACTTCTATCCCAGCATCGGCCACGGTTCTGTAAGAGCGACAAAGAGGGAAACAGGTGACAGTGTGAGACAGACACATGTCCGCTGTCATGACGACAAACACATCAAATGCGAGAGGAGCAGCACTGGCTGAGTGAGGACCTGTCAAACAGAACTGTGAAAGTCACTGGTGCTGTGCCTAGTATCGTCTAACGAATACAATATAACGTCTGGAGTGAGTGAGGAAAACAACGAATAACTTAGATGCTTGAGGCACTATGCTACAAGCAGGAAGGTTGCGGGTTCGATTCCCGATGAGGTGGATTTTTTTATCAATTGGCATAATCCTTCCAGCCACACTATGGCCTTCGAGTCGATTCAGCCTCTAACATGAACGAGTATCATGAATCTTCCTGGGGGGTAAAGGGCGGCCGGTACGTGAGGCTGACAAGTGAACCGTGCAACGATTCTTCTCCGTGAAGTTCCTTGGAGTGGCCTCTCCGGACACCAGGATGCAAGCCGGTCCTTTCTTCCCCGCTGAGGTCCTTGGCTGGCGTCAGAATCACGTGTTTCCCCTCCCCCGCTCCTTAGCGTGATTGCGAGCCTTCGTGGTAAGTCAAGATAAGCGATCGTTCTCTTCTTCCCTTAAATCTTCGTCTGGTAACATCGCTACGACTAAATTTGGTTTTGGAACAATTAAGTTGATGATACTGAAATTTTGTTTCGGCACGTAACGCGGATCGAAGGGGGAGAAGCAGCCCTCACGAGCTAGTCAGGGCTGGCTGGTTCGTGAGGTAAATATTTGAGTTTCTTGGGCCAAACTGCAAGTAAGTGACTTACTGGATTTGTGCACGCCGTAAGGCGTATTGACTTGGTTCTATACGCCGTGTGGCGTGGTTTAGTTGATTTACTGCACCGCGAGGCACGGTGGGATTTTGGTTTTGGTTAGAGGTTGTAATAACCAGTAATTGCCCTTCAGGCGTGGTTCACCTGTTTACTCAGGTTATCAATGTACTTCATTGTGTTAGGAAAAGTTGATTGAGTACATGTGTACTGGATGTTTTGGATACGCCATGAGGCGTGGCACAGTTGATTTGGTGTGCCGCCAGGCGCAATGTAATTCTGCTTCAGTCAGCCATTGTATGTAATTTACCAGTAACTGCCCCTCAGACATGTTTTATTTGTCTACTCAGGTTATCAATATATTTCCATGTTTTAGGAAAGTGTTTGAGTATATGTACCCTGTGTCACCATATGTTCCATACTAGCTCCTGCCTATTTGATCCGCCCAGCTTGGCCTGTCGTACTGACCTGGGTTTTCCTCTCTCGAGATCCCTTACCGAATCTTTGGGAGGCATACTGCACCATGCCAATAAGCAAGTCGTTTCTTACGAGCCTGTCCCTTACCCGTATAGACGGGGAACACGGCTCACAACTTCACCGCCGTCTATGAGCAGACTGTCTAGAAAATGTGGGAGCCTCGACGTCTCACAACGATATGGGCCTCTATGGCGTGTTAAAGGGATAGCTTTACTTTTCTTAGGTTTATATAAGATAATTTAAAAACCAATTTGAATAGGAATCACGCACAAAAATATATTTTATGATATAATATTGAACTATTATATGTTTCGACCATTCAACCAATTATAATCAAGTGAGTCTATCAACCATATCCACTAAAACTGCACACAGCGCTAAAAGAAAAATTGATTTTCCGTAGTTTAAAGTTATTAAAGACATCGAATTTATTAATTACATTAATTATTTCATGTAAAAGTAAGCCAATTACGATTAAGAGAATTAAACTCCAATTTGTTTCTAATTGATTCTTAGGTTAAGTTAAATCACTTTAGGTTACACCAACTTAGGTTAGGTTAAATCAGATTGGATTAGAACAATTTAGATTACACTGGCTTATTTTCGAAAATTGGATCTCTTTCCGTTATCAGTTTCCACAATATTGCGTTGTTTGTTCTTTAGAATACCGGACGATAGACAAAGTCCAAAACCCCAGTAATTCTGTGTGTTATGCATCATCGTCAAATTCCTTTAGAATTTCCTGTACTACAGCCCAAGATTTTCTTCATGTGTACTTGTGACTTGTGATAAAGCATTCATTCAGCTCACTGCACTGAGACTCGTTACGGTGAGGTTTTGTGAGTAGCAGAATGAGTGTAAAATTTAATGAGCGTCATGTGGATCAGTACAATCATTTCTTGTGGAATTGTGCAATTTCGGAAGCGTATTTAAATAGAAATTATTAATCTTCAGGTAAGTGAATACACTGTGAATGAATCAGTGTACAATTTAGCAGAGAATTTCTTCTGTTAACTAAAAACACACGCGGTTTGTACAAATGATCATACATTTGTACAAATTCCTATGATATTTATTGCCTCATATAAAAGGATAAGTTCATGTCTAGAGTCGAAAGCAAGAATTTATTGGAAGCTATCCTAACGCCCTATTTTCTTAAAAAAAAAATAATCTCTGCGGTAGTAAACTTCGTGATTTAGTGCAGCGACAATGCTCTACACACGTATTCAGGTTGTGATCGGCTACCCCGCCTAATCCTGAGTAAAAACTTTCGTAGTTTTCCTCAGTCCCTCAAGAAAAATGTTAAATTGCCTCAATTAGAGTAGAACAGCTTCCTTTCCAAATCATCACTCATGTGTCACATTACCACTCGATGTTATACAGGATGTTCCAGGAGGAAAGACCAATATTCTGGAAGTTCACAGTATCGGTCATTCTAAGCAAGAAATTGTATGTGTACATGTGTGTCCTGTTCCGAACGGTTTCTGAGATAGAGCTATTTCACTGTACTCTGTACAGACGAGTAACACGCCGTGTCCTCACACGAGTTGCTAAGTGCATTGATGTTGACGGTGAAATTTTAGAAAATGTATTATACTACGTAAACTCTACCAACTTTGTCACTTGAACTATAAACACCGGTATTAGAAACAGTACGTAATATCTCCTTCTTATCAACAGTTTTGGAACTGTACAGTGAAATAACTGTATCTCGGAAACCGTTCGGAATAGCACACATGTACATATACAATTTTTTGGTTAGAATGACCGATAGTGTGACCTTCCAGAATACTGAACTCTCTTCCTGGGACAACCTGTATATTTATTTCGCTTAGTGGGGGTTGGAGTCCAACTGGGTCCACTCGGCATGGAGGCCACTGATTAGCCTATTGTACCTGACGTGGGTGGTTATGACGATGAAGAATTTGGTGGAATAAAGATTGGCAAGGGAAACCGAAGTACTCGGAGAAAACCCGTCTCAGCGCCACTTTGTCCACTACAAATCCCACTTGACCAGACCCGGGATCGAACCCAGGCCTCTGCGGTGGGAAGCCAGCGACTAACCGCTTGAGGTATGACGCGGCCAACCTGTATAGTTACTGGCAACATTGTACACCAAACATAATTAAAGCCCATATATTTCATGAACAAGGTTACGTCATGTAGTTTGTAGGCAACTTTACGGAAGAGAAGTCCTGGTTAAGTACCTGCGTGTGAATGTCGGAAATGTGTTCAGAAGAGAAGAGATCAACATTCTATTGATGACGTAACGGTGTACGTCACTAACTGATGATGACGCATACTCGTTCCTATAGCAGATGGAGTTTAACAATTCTTCGACAATGGTATGTTTGTTTTCATAGTAGAAGGTATTAATGTTTACTCATTTAATTAAAACTGATTGAGATACGAACAGCATCAAATGTTTCTACTTCTTCTGGGTGGACCCCAGAGCCGGTCTGGATGATTTGGGGAAGAAAAATATTTCGACCCTACCGAGACTCGAACTCTGACCCCTAAGTAGCCAGTCGCTATACCGACTACGATACTCCGAAGCACAGGAGATGGAACAAAATATGCAGTAGCAACTGAGAAGAAATATGGAACTTAGAGACAGATACACAGGAGTCTCAGAGCGGAACACTGCGAATCAGAACGTATTATTACGTTATAAACATTAAACGAGTTAAAATGCAGAAAATGAAATTACGATTTTTTCCCCTGACGAAGGTAACTGAATTACATTCAGTCGTACAACCACTGCGAGGAATGATACTTATGTTTGATAAAATTCGATATCCTAGTTCTGACTGATTACAACGTGGATCTGAACTGTCACTGAAAGCCCAACTCCTAGGCTCAACGCTGCTAATACAAGTCGATCTTAATCCAATTTGAACCGCATTCCTTCCGAAAATCCTACTTCTCGAACAGACATCTTAACGTTTCCCTCTCATTTCTTCCATCCTTCAAGTAATCATTCTCTGAGACGTCTCTCTGACCGAAATCTTCCTTCTCACCCCATCGTAAAGCACATCCACTCTGCAAAGAGTGGCGCGGGATGCGACGTGTACGCAACTTTACGAAAGGAAAGTCCTGTGTAAGAATATGGGAAATTCGATAATGACTTAACTATCTACGTCACTAACGGATGATGACGCATCCTCGTTCCAATACCGGATGGACTATAGCAACATATCAAGTAACATGTANGATGTGCTGAAAAGGAAGTTAAAGGCGTCTCCGTGATTAATTAATTAATCACAGTGCCATTAAGATACATGGGGAATTGGATTTATAGTTTCACCATTCTTGACTTCCGCAAAGATAGCCGGGAAATGTCAGTTTCACGCCCCGGCCACTTTAACCCAATGGAAAGAGTTCACGGTACCCACAGGATAGGAGGTTAATTGGGCCCAAGACCCGGTCTGGACGCTGATCAAAAAAGAAAAATTACATTCCCCTGTTGGGAATCGAACCCCGATTCCAAGGTTTCCAGGATGTGGCCCGTCGCTATACCGGCTCAGTTAACTTAATTTCAGTTTCTGTGTGACGGAACAAGAAATGATTTCGTATGTGAAATATTCAACAGTTTCGTAATGCAATAAAATAGTCTTATATCTGTTTCAACGGGTGAATGCGGTAGCTTAATTGGTTGAGGCACTATGCTACAAGCCGGAAGGTCGCGGGTTCGATTACCAATGAGGTCACTGGATTTTTCAATTGATCTGATTCTTCTAGCCGCACTATGTCCCTGGGGTCAACTCAACCTCTAACAGAAATGAGTACCAGGAATCTTCACGGGAGAGTAAAGGACAGCCGGCCCGTAAGGCTGACAACCTCACCTCTATCTGTGAGCCAACTATCTAGAAAATGTGGGAGCCTCGACGTCTCACAACCCTATGAGCCTCCAATGCCTGTTACAGGGACAGCTTCACCCTTTTTGTTTAACTGTTTAAACGGGAATTTGTATTTTCCGTGCAAATCTTCTCTGAGGGTGGGCCACACCTTTAGTATGCAGTCCTATGGGATACAATTTCTGTGTGTTTAACGAGGTCTCTGGCATGAGGATTCTGGTTCCATCGTTAAGTTCAAAGGTCCGGCCACACAGAGCGCTAGGCTATGTTCGCTACGTACGCTGTGTACACTCTGCGACGCAGCTAATATAGGGAACATAGCGTACATAGCGTTCGGAAGTCTGTGTGGCCAGTCACATTGGCAAAAATTGGAAATATTTTTCTGTTGATATAGCGAACATAGCGTACGTAGCGCTCTGTGTGGCCGCGCCTCAAAGGGAACACAGTGACTTGCTAACGAGGACGTTGCTGTGTGCCTCACCAACTGGCGACCCAGCTTCGAAGATTTATGAGCTACATAAGTGATTTCGGATATTCTGTTTTTGCTGTTCTCAGACAAAATATCCATCATTGTTGCCTTTTGTTTGGATTTGTGTTCGCATTTTACTGTGCTTTGCTGCCACTTATGAATGCTATGACTAAACTTACAATCTAATTGTGAGTGAGACTGGACCCATTAGGTACGCCGGCCACTATTGGGTCTATTGTACCACCTATCTATGGCTATACAACCCTTTGTTGGACCTTGGCCACCTTTCCAGTTATTGATCTTCTATAAAGTTGGTATGACTTCCTGTATGAGGGATCAGCCCGTCAGAAGGCTGCTATCTGAACACAGGACAGCACAATCACACAATAAACCCACACAGACCTCCATGTCTCAAGTGAGATTCGAACCCACGATCCAATTGTTTAAGCTGGTGAAGACAGTCCATGAATTAGACCGCGCGGCCACTGTGACCGGCTGGACGTGTGGATCAGTTTTCAGGGGAAAGCGAAGTGCACGGAAAAATATTCTAGTGCTACAGTGGCCCCCACAAATCCCACTTGACCTGACCTGGGATGTAACCCAGACCGTCGCAATGGTAAGCCTGCGAATAACAATCTGAACTATGGCATGACCTCAAATTTACTACCTGAATTCATTCAACAAATTAATTCATCAATAACCAGGCTAGTGAGCACTTCTCCGAACCTGAATAATTTATATATCAGGCCATCTCTCCCTTCAACTTCTCTCACTCTCAGTCATCTGTTAGGTGTCAAAAGAAGAAATTACGGCAAAAGTACTATGGCAGGGAACTTGAATGTTTTAAATAGAATTTCTGCAGGTGCACCTTTCTCCCTGTGGCATCGAACTTGTCGTGCGATGTTTCACGACGGAAGTTGACACCGTAACTAACTAATCTCATATCCAAGGAACTGACAGCCTAGAAACGTAATCGGCTCACACAATTTTTCACCTCAGTTTTTAAAACGTCGCAAACATATCACGTGGTAATAATATTTATTTAAGATTTCAATGTCAGTACCCTCTGGCTTCAGCTGACGGGACCAATAAACTTTGAAGCGGCTGATGGAGCCGGTTAGGCGCGTTTCAGAGCGCCATGAAAACTAAGATCGTATATGGGTTCTTATCGACGAAAGACTTACTTCTCTGGGATTTGTGGGAAATGTTTCGTGGAAGGAAAACGGGTGGAAATAAAATTGTTGAGAAGGAATTGAAGACTGAGAGAGACGGTAGATTGTTTCGGGGAAAATATTGAGGTACTAAGTAAATAGTTCCCTCCTCCAAACCCTGTTCACAATTCTCACCCTCTCAGGTATGCTATTTATCTCGCTCTTTTACGTTACGCCGTCTCCCATTCGCTCGCTGGCAGCCCCGTATCAGTTCTCATTTTCCTTATATCAACACCTTTACTTTCCAGAGCATGACATTCGATTACCTCAAAGATGGCTACAACAAATTCCTTCTAAGAATTATTACCTTTGTATCAGACTATACGACATCACACGGATCTACAAGAAAATGGTGATCTTTAAATTAAAAAAGAAATTGAATAAATTTTAATGTAAGTCTGCCGTACCTAAAGAGAACGAATTTTATCCAACAGCAAAAACCGTCAAACAAACTAATGTTTTTAATAATGTCGCGTGTTTCCTAGGCAACGCGACAAGGAATTGTGTTGGTCTCGGATTTGGATGAATATGTTTATTAGACAATCACTTTTTACACTCACAAATACAATCACTCGGACTTAGAACGCCTTCAAACGTTTCCTCTTCAACTGTTATAACACTCATGCACCGCTAATCTCGGTGGAATGTCTTGGCTCTACGTCCTTCGAAGCTGGACTGACGCCTACTCTAGTCGAATACGAACTGATTTAGTCCTGAGTCTGAGTCTTAGTCTCATTTTACGACCGACGGTCAGTCGGCCAGTCTGTCTTGGCATAAAGCACCCATCTGGGGCTTGCGACCAGATATTTATTACTGTTTGACAGTTACGGTCTTGTTTTTTGTGGGCGCCCTCTCTGACGAGAGGACGGGTCTGTCTTTTGTATATGCTGCTGGTCCTTGCCAGCACAGTCTTTCTCTGGTCCGAATCCCTTGGTCCTCTGAACTGTACCTCGCTTTTATATCATACCCTCGGACGGGACAGAGGTCATCTTGTCGAGGAGGTTCAGTTTCGCTGCTGCTGTTCAAACGACTCTCTCGTTGCTACGGGGATACATGTCTGCCTGAAACATTTCGTTAGTTGGGCATTGTTAGCCTCTTTGTAACGGTGGAAACCTCACTGTTAAGCTTTCGTCTCAGGGTCACTGATTTCCTAGGCACTGTTTCCTAGCAATTGATAGCCGTTGACCAGTGATGGACGTCTTATCGTCCGGCCTTCCTGGCAGCACGTCACAATAATAAATTCGCAACATTTTTGGCAAACATGGGCCATCATCGGATGATTCTTGAGGACTACATAAATGATGACGGACAGCATATAAACTACAATACTAGGACAAATTTTTGTGTAAATTAAAATTTTGTTGAATCCCACTTAATACGACACATACATTATATTTTTAATTAAGATTAGATAAACGTATTGGAATTAAAAAAATAACTGAAACAATGCAAGGATATAATCCCTCTGTACCAGCGTTTTAGTTTATAACTATTCCGTCACCAATTGTGTAGTCCGAAGGAACACCTGATGATGGCCTATCTGGGCTGAAATGATTAATAAACATGTTTGTGTGACGGTGACCCATCAATTTTGATTTCTAAGGACCATAAACAGGATGCAATACTACAGAATTATCCAGCAGTACCAGTGACAAAATTCTAGACACCAGCTACCTGAACGAGGACTTTCACAGTTCTCTTCAGTCACTCCAGGCAACAGCAGGAATAATACCTCTATTAAGCTACTACCGCTTCCTTCAAAATCTCGTCCCATTCATCTACTATCGCATTTAAAAGGTTATGACGATGGTACATTAATACAAATATTGTGTTTCTGGACGTTATCCATTGTCCTGTTTTTATCTGGTGCGCAGGTGTCCGGAAATAGGGACCCAACTGAATAGGTTTCACCTGAAGACTGAGAGAGAATCCAGTCTCCGGAGGTAGGGGCTAGCTCTATCTATTGGGCAAACTGAGTGGGTTTTACCTGAAGACGGAGACACAATCCAGTCTGCGGAGATAGGGACTATCTATAAGGGTAAAACTCGGTAGGTTTCACCTGAAGACGGAGACAGAATCCAGTCTGCGGAGATAGGGACTATTTATAAGGGCTCAACTCGGTAGGTTTTACCTGAAGACGGAGACAGAATCCAGTCTGCGGAGATAGAGACTATCTATAAGGGCCCAACTCGGTAAGTTTTACCTGAAGACGGAGACAGAATCCAGTCTGCGGAGATAGGGACTATCTATAAGGGCCCAACTCGGTAGGATTTACCTGAAGATGGAGACAGAATCCAGTCTGAGGAGATAGGGACTATCTATAAGGGCCAAACTCGGTAGGTTTTACCTGAAGATGGAGACAGAATCCAGTCTCCGAAATGTTGTATTATTAAATAAAAACAGGACGATGCATAAGTCCAGAAACATCCCATCATTTGACAGTATATGTTCCATTACCGACATTTTAATTCCACAAAACAGATAACCTAATGCGGATTCAGTTCCTCAGAATGCCCCTGAAAGCCACAGAAATACAAAGAATATAAACTCTTGGTACTCACAATCGTCTCATATACGAGGATATGTTTGCCGGAATGTCCGTGAGAGCGGCGCCCCTGCAGCGACATTCCGGTTCCGGTTCCATGTGGTGTACCCTTTCCGCCTCCGTGCTGTTGTAACACGTGCACTCGCTTCCAGGGTGCCACCCGCCAGTGATGACCATCGGCTCCAGCTCCAACATGCTGTCGACCTCCGTATCATTGTCTGCGGCCAGGACTCCCAGCAACAGCGCCGTAACTACAGAACCCAACACCAAATAGCGCCTGTAACAAAACAACGTCCATCTATAGAACTGGTTGAAGAAATGAAGTAGATTCTTCAGCTGAAACCGGTCAAATTTCGGCCACTGAGTATCTAAAACATCTACGATGATGAGTCATCATCCATAGTGACGTAGGCTATTAAATTGTCGTGTAAATACATTTCTAAACATAGATAGGATGCAAAATCAGACCGCTTCTGTTGTCTAGTGGTCAGAGTTCCTGACTACAGATCCTGAGGTCCAGGACTCGATTCCAGGCGCTACCAGATTTTCTGAAAAGTAGTGGGTCTGGAACGGGGTTCACTCAAAGTCGAGAGGATAACTGAGGAGTTATTTCAAGGAAACAGCGGCTCCGGTCTAGAAAGCCGAGATTAACTGCCGTGGGGATTCATTGCGCTGACCACGCAACACTCTCTATCCGCTAATGTTGGCACTAACTTCGCCTACAAGGGCGGTCTCTTGGTCGGTAAAGTTCGCTTGCGGACTCAAGTCTCGGAGGATGCAGAATCACCACACCGCATGTCTCGTTGAGCACACAAGATTATTACATTATGGTATATCTGGTTATTATCCATAGTCCTGTCTTTTGTTTAAAACACAACGTTTCTGAGACTGCATTCTGTTTCCGTCTTCAGGAAAAAACCTACTCAGTTTGACACAATCGATATAGCTAGTTCTTATCTTCGAACAACAGCACCAACACAAGATAGGATATATAAACCAAAATAAAAATCCGTTGCATGGTCAGCGCAACAAATCTCCAAGGCCGTTAATTTAGATTTTCTAGACCTGAGCCTCTATTTCCTTTAAATAGCTCCTCAGTTATCCTCACGAGGCTGAGTGGATCCAATTCCAGACCCACAACTCGGAAAATCTGGTAGCGCCTGGAATTGAACCAGGGACCTCTGGATCTGTAGCCACGAACTCTGACCACTACACCACAGATAAACCAAGCACAACAAAATATCTTTTATTGGTGCTGATATTCGGAGACAGGGGTTAACTATAACGATTGGGTATTTTATTTATGTGAAGACAGAGACAGAACCCAGCCCCGAAAACCTTTTAATTAAAAGAAAACAGGAAAGGTAAGGTAAAGTTGTCTTTGTGCTTAACTCCTTAAGCATTACGCCATGAAGGAGTGTAGGGGCGTCGATGTATAGATCCACAGGACGATGTGCAATATCCAAAAGAACATAATAATTATATTAATATATCATCGTCACAATCTTTAGAACTTATTTACACAATAATATCCTTCAATAATTTTTTCTTCCCAAAGTACGATATATGCTCAAATATAGCTTATACGGACAATATAGATTAATAACACCTAGAAGTACTGTCTTCTAGGTGTTACCGATGTGTATATGGGAGAAAGGCTAACGTTTCGAAAGGAAACTCACCTCAATTTTCAGGGTCAGCGTTCAATTAGTCGCCTGCTTGGCTTTCTCTTAAGCAATGAAGTCAGAGTCGCTATATTCCTCCGAAACGTCGGACTGTCAGAACTACACAGCCTTACAGCCCACAATAACATACTCTTTACGATCACAGTCGTGAGAGTCTGAATTCCAACAAATTAATAAAGCAGTTGGATTTGTACATCTTCGGCATTTCTTGCAGCATTCTCTAAGTATTCATATTGTGACGTGTTGTGCAATGGAGGACAACCCCTCACCCCGCCAGCGGGAAATTTGACGCCTACCAAATTCCCTCTACTCTCCCCCCCCTAAAAAAAAAACAACAGAATATCCAATTTAAGTTTTGAGAACAATATTCCACGTTACAACTCGGTGCAAATGAAGTTCGCATGTGTGCTGCTGCAGATGGGTAATAACATTTATGTGCTTACTCTGGGTCCCGACGCAATATGAAAGGCTTACACTTGCCGGCTCATTCCTCTGGCGGGCATTTAACTGAGCTGGGATATTATGTTATTGCTTGACTCAGTTCGTGTAACCTCCAGCAGAGAAACTCAAGATCTAAGATCCAAAAGGTTAATGTTAATTAATGTTAGAATAAACACGTACTTAAATACGGCGAAGAGGTAAACAGAACATGAGCGGGCGTCAAGAACACGTGCTCTAACATCTCAGTCAACAGACACAGAGAGAATTTCAGCATTCAAGTGTGAAGGTAATACTAACTAATTAACCAACTACATCAACTAACAAGATTCAAGGAATTTCCAGCATTTTATGAAATCCAAAATTTCATCACCGTGTTTACAAGAGCCAGCCACTGGTCCCCATCCTGAGCCAGATGGATCCAATTCACAACCGCATTCTCTTTAATACAAACAAAAACAGAACTCCGTGGCCTATAGTCCGCAAGCGAACTACACCGACCGAGCGACTGTCGCTTACCGACGAAGTTAGTTTTAACTTTTGCGGATAGAGGGTGTCACGTGGTCAGCGCAACGAATCCCCATGGCCGTTAATCTCGGTTTTCTAAACCGGAGCCGCTAATTCCTTGAACTAGCTCCTCAATTATCCTCACGAGGCTGAGTGGACCCCGTTCCAGAACCACTACTTCTCAGAAAAAATCTTGTAGCGCCGGGAATCGAACCCGGACCTCTGGATCTGTAGCCAGGAACTCTGACCACTAGACCACAGAGGCGGTATTATACAATGGCAAATATATGTATGAGTTTAAATTCGATATAATATAGCAAAAATATATATTCCTTTCTTTGGGCTCGACGTACTGGGACACAGACATACACTCTCTCCTTAACATTGGATGTACTATAGAAAAGATCATCCAAAATTTAATCAGGATTCATTGGAAAAAAAAAAATATTTCAGTCTTTCCTAACCACTGAGGAAATCAAGGTGAATTCGTATAAAGAATTTCGTACGCTTCTTTCATATCTACGCTATTCTCCTGGTCCCCAGATCAGAGATATCGGAAACTCAACTGAAGAGAGAGCTCCGAAACACGTCTGATTCTCTTCCGTTCACTCGGGTCCAGTGGATACATGAACAAAGGGATTGCATTTAGGACTACATTAGCTCCACACAACAGACTGCCGCTCTGGTCTGTTTCAAAACCTGCTAGAAAAGAGGCAAACAACAAAACAGTCGAGCAAAATGTCTATATTGATGTATCGATACTGTGAATTTATATGCAGCATCGGGAGTAAACGCGTCTCCTAAAAATACTGTTTAAAACACTGTTTTCATTTTGGTCCGTGGTACATGTGGAATTAATAATGACTGAAATATCAGTATTTATTATTTAAATGCTGCCTAGTCTGTACACCTTTTATTAAAGAGTAATATCCATGTTACAAAGGTCACGCGGTAGCGCAGTTGGTTGAGGCACTATGCTAGAAGCCGGAAGGTCGTGGGTTCAAGTACCGATGAGGTCATTGGATTATTTTTTNTGTTCACGATGTATATATATATATATATATATATATATACATCGTGAACATTTCAGTCAAACAAGTCTTATAATATGTAAGATTTCAAGTCTTATAATATTGTAACGAGACAGGAATAAACAGCGAGGGTATTGGGATCGAAACGAATTCATTTCTTGATCACTTACTTTTACAGTAGCGAGTACAATTATTACCAAGAAAATTTATCTTACCTTAAAATTTGCTAAAACCTTGTCGATGTTTATGAAGAGTTCTGTCTTCTCGCCGGCGAATGTCAACCGACGTTTCGGAGGAATATGTTGATTCAAAAGCCTTTGCTTTCAGCCTATTTCATGCTAGTTTCATGTTTCGATCCCTCTTCAACCATGAAGACACGGAAGACATGATCCTCCGCAACGTCGATTGAATTTCAACGGAGTACATGGGTTTATATCCCAGAAGACAGGACTTTTCATGTAGGCTATTTGCAGTGTTTTATGGAGAGACCTGTACACTGAAGAGTACATTGTTTGATGCAGTGTTTTGGATGAAGAGTGTACATGATTGGTTTACAGCACGGGGAAACTTAAAAGCCTGATTATACATGGAAAGTAATGATCAAAGTGAAATGTGAGTTTTATGGCGACTCCTAGACTGTTCAATCTGTTTCAGTGCATCCACTCGCCACAGCACATACCGCTAATGAGACGCTCGAATCCACTGATGCAGAAACAATGAGTCATTTCCTAAACTACGAATGGGTAAACGCAATAAAATAGGCGTAAACTATCCCTGTATCAGGCCATGAAAGTCCACAGGGCTGTGAGACGTCGAGGAGCCCACATTTTCTAGACAATCTGTTCACATATGGCGGTGAAGTTAAGTAAAGGTATCCTTGTAACAGGCCATGGAAGCCCATTGGGCTGTGAGACGTCGAGGCGCCCACATTTTCCAGACAATCTGTTTACAGATGGCGGTGAGGTTCAATAAAGGTATCCTTGTAACTGGCCATGGAAGCCCATTGGGCTGTGAGACGTCGAGGCGCCCACATTTGCCAGACAATCTGTTTACAGACGGCGGTGAGGTTCGGTAAAGGTATCCTTGTAACAGGCCATGGAAGCCCATTGGGCTGTGAGACGTCGAGGCGCCCACATTATCTAGACAATCTGTTCACAGATGGCGGTGAGGTTAAGTGAAGGTATCCCTGTAACAGGCCATGGAAGCCCATAAGGCTGTGAGACGTCGAGGCTCCCACATTTTCCAGACAATCTGTTTACAGATGGCGGTGAGGTTCAGTAAAGGTATCCTTGTAACTGGCCATAGAAGTCCATTGGGCTGTGAGACGTCTAGGCGCCCACATTTTCTAGACAATCTGTTCACAGATGGTGGTGAGGTTCTCAACCTTACGCGCCGGCCATCCTTAAACCCCAAGAAGATTCCTGGTACGCATTTCTGTTAGAGGCTGAGCCGACACCAAGACCATAGCGCGCTGGAAGGGTTAGTTCAACTGAAAAAATCCATTGACCTCATCGGGAATCGAACCCGTGACCTTTCGATTTGTGGAATAGTGCCACTATATAAAAAGGTACAGTTTTCCCTGAGATTATTTAAGCATTATGTCATGAAGCCAGATG